ATAAAATTTGACAGGTAGGGGGACTTGACTTTTCTTTCCTTCACCCACCAAAGCAAAAATGCCTAAGGCACTCAAACTTATAACCCAAATAACAGTTTATGATCAAAACCTCAGATGAGGGGCGCCTGGGTGGCTCAGTGGGTTAAAACTTCTGCCTTCGGCCCAGGGCATGATCCCAGGGTCCTGGGATCAAGCCCTGCATCAGGCTCTCTGCTCGGCGGGGAGCCTGCTTCCCCTTCTCTCTCTGCCCGCCCGTCTGCCTACTTGTGACCTGTCTGTCTGTCAAATAAATAAATAAAATCTTAAAAAAAAAAAAAAACAAAACCAACCCTCAGATGAGCGATGGGAATTCTTTAGGAGAAAAAGTTCATAAGCGGTTTTTTTTAAAAATCAAACATAACTGCTATATAAACAAACAGATTAACTAAAATAAGCCTCTGATGTCTTCACAATTCTGTCAAGCACTTTACGGCTTGCGCTAACCATGAAAATTTACACAAGGCTTTGCACGTGATTCAACTCTGGACACAGAACTCATTGAGACACGTTAATGTCCTAAGTAAGACACCCCTTTCAACCACACAAGCTCTGAATAGGCTTAAAACAAGCACAGCCCGTGGGTAGCACTGCAGAATTTGGGGCCAAGTTTTGTCGTCTTCACCACATTCAGCCAGCCATAGAGCAACAAACCAAAGTTCCAATCATCGCACTGCACCTGCAAGGCTTAGGTATGCTCCAAGTCAAATATTTGCCGTTTTTTCATCCCAAATCTGCACAAATGAAAGTATGCAGATCGTCGCGCCAGGCCTCTTGCCAGCCAAAATGATCTCTCTTTCCTGCAGCCGCTGTGTCCTGCCATTTACTGAGTCCTTACTAAGGACATGGACATGCGGCAGAACTGTGCTAGCAGCTTGCATATCTTAGCTCTAAACCCTTAAAACAAATCCCATTCTACTGCTGAGGAAACTGAGGCCAGAGAGGTCAAGGTGATTTGCCCCATGCCGCCCGCAAAGCTGGTAACTGGTGGAGCCGATTCAAATCCTGCTCTGCCGGGCCGCAAAGGACCATCTCCCTGATCTTCCTTCAGCTAAATTCACTACCTGCAGCGTAGTTTCCCTCTATCAAAGTAAATTCAAGTGCTGTCAGACATGGTGACAATACGGGCGCCTGGGTGGCTCAGTGGGTTAAAGCCTCTGCCTTCGGGCTCAGGTCATGATCTCAGGCTCCCGGGATCAAGCCCTGCATGGGGCTCTCTGCTCAGCAGGGAGCCTGCTTCCCCCACCCCTGCTCTCCCTGCCTGCCTACTTGTGATCTCTGCCTGTCAAATAAATAGAATCTTTAAAAAAAAAAAAAAAAGAAAGAAAAGAAAAGAAAAGAAAAGAAAAGTAATGGTGACAGTAGCTGAGAAGACGACCATACCTACAGCTGGAGGACAAGATCCAAGAGTTCCCTGCAAGGAAACGCAGTCACCGCCTGTAGCATACCTAGCTCCAGAGGCTATGGCTCAAAATATAAGAGACTCCACAGGGGTTTTTGTTGTTGTTGCTATTGGCGGTCTCTCCACTGACTTTTTACAACAAGGGAAATGAAACTCAAGAGTATATTCACATTTTTGGTGAAATTATCTAAAACCCTTGAGTAAAGGGTGATTTTTTTTTTTTTTTTTTTAACAGTTCACTTTTACAGTTTACTGCTTTGCTAGGCTCTGGACACTTTCAAAAGCAAGATCGCATCAGCAGCATTACTAATCAACTTTCTTCTACAGACTTGAAAAGTATTTTCTTACCACGCTACAAGATTACTTCCCATACTTTGAGCAGAAATGGAAACAGCTCTGGGCGTCACGAATCAGATCTGGAGACCACAGTTGCAGAAAGGAGGTAGGTGCTGTTTCCCCTGAGTAGGAGCCGCTGATCTGAAACCTCCTAAGGGAAGGGTGTCTGAGGAAGAGTGTTGAAGAAACTAAAGCAAGCTGTTTGTATTAATGAGGGAGCTGCTGGCACTACTGCTTCTTAAGTGTTTCTCTGCCGTGCAATTGTTTCCCGGCTTCCAAGCTCTGAATCTGGCAGACAGAATGCTGTTCTCACAGCCATACGTGTTCTGCGATCAGCTGCTTAGTGGTGTGTGGGTGTTTAACTAGGTAAGTGACTGGTAAGAAGAGGCTCTGCAATTTTAAATCAAGGAAGCACACCGTCCCCTGAGATTTTAGTGATCTGTCACTATAGGACGACGCTGACAAAGTAACATTATTTGCAACTTTGAAATGGTTTGGGGTTAGGATAGGCAAATAATTTCCAACAGTAATGCTCCAGGCGTGACACGAACAAAAAATATAACCTGTAATCCAAGCCACTTCAAGCATGTTTATTAGATAATAAAAAACTCAATATTTGCCATCTCAGCATGCTTTCAAACTTCATAGGGTACGCTGCATAATTATTAGAATAAATGCTGTTCTTCGGGCATGTGGAACAGGTTCTGTGCAAGATTCCAAGGCCCTCCTGCCTTCCAAAGAAATGTTAAAACCATGAATTGCTTAGCCTCTCAGAACCCCAAAAATGTAAAAAAAATAAATAAATAAAGGAAAGAAAGAAAGAAAGAGTCTCAAAGGATTCCTTCCTTAAGTAAAAAATGTCAGAACTGTAAGCTCCTGGAGACCTGGGGACTATGTTTTTTTAATGTCACTGACCATCACAACACTATCACAAGTGGAATAAATCCCCCTTGGTTGAAATATAATCAAAAGGGCAAAGCTGGATGCAGAGTGATTTAGAAAGAATAGCTGATATTTATCCCCTGTTTGTTGATAGAAAAGGGCATGTTCATCCCTTGTTCTAAATTCTAAACATGGAGACTGAATTCCAAAACTGCAACCAAGATCCCTTCCATTAAAACAAAACTTTAAAATCGATGATTCTGGTGACAATGTCATCCTGAATTATGACATGAAATCATATCTAATAAAGTCAAAATAATCTGCACGGAACAGGTGCTCTACTATGGGAAGGATAAAGCCTTCTTTTAAGATATCAAATCAACCTCCATAAGCACATTGTGGACAGGCATCATGAAACAGACCACTGACTTTGCTTTTGAAATCTGCTACCTTTAGAAAACAGTGCAAGGAATGTACATCATCAACTGGTCAAATTCAGACAAATTATCTTGACTCCAGTCTGAACTTTTTCTGAAATTCTCTCACACATCTCCTTTTTACAGGAAAACAGGGAATGATACCTTACAGACCCCTAACCCGCTGTAGTCAAAGAACAAAACACAAGGATACACACACATCATCTACTTTGTTGCTCAGGACCAAAGTACTGTAATGTCGATCCTTAAGAAACAAAACAAAACACAAAACTCAAGTTCCTTTCACTTTTGCATAATACAAATCTCAACCTGACTGTCCCAGGACTAGCTTCAAGAGGACTGTAATGCACACAAAAATTAGGAGTGTCTCTTTCACCAAGAAGAGGACCCTGAAGGCTTCCATGATCCCAAAGAAAGGTTAAGAACCACTGAAGAAGACATTTCCGGAATTGCTGAAACTCAGAAGTGAACATTTTAAACAAAATTATACTAAAGGAATTATCTATCTGAATGCATGGGCACAGTCCCCACACAGGCAACCAAGCTGCCTGCCAGTCCTGACCATCTCTGTGCAGCTGACCCCTCTCAAATGAGCCCGAGGGGGAACATCTCCCCGCATTCAGCCCGCACACACATGCCAGCCCCAGCAGCTCTTCATTCCTTAAGCATACACATGTTGTCAACAAAGCATGTGCTAGTTGTCATTCCCAGAACAATACAGGCCTGACCATCTCTGGAAAAAAAAAAAAAAATACACATTCTTCCCAAAACATGACCCTGTTTATTTACTATGCCATGACGATCGATCTTACATACTGAGACAAAATAAATGAAATGCTCACACACATGTATCTAATCAACTGAGGGGAAAAAAGCATCACTCAGGTGTTGCTGAGGGTACACAGGCAATGCAGATCAGGAAAACACTAGGATAACGATGCTTGAACATGGGGACAATCAAAGACACACTCAAGCAGGAACATCCTGAGACCATGGTTGTGGAAAGAACCCTTCTCCAAAAGCAAAAGCACATTCCTTTGATTGGCACAAGCCCTTCCTGACAATGGATCCGCAATGACAGGGGCTGCTCTGGCAATCAGGAAGTGTGTGTGTGTGTGTGTGTGTGTGTGTGTGTGTGTGTTGTGGGGGAGGGATGTACTAAATGTGATCAAAGACTGGCCCTCTTCAAAGAAGAACATATGGGATCTCAAATCGTCAAGACAGACTTCGAGGGTGAGGCAGGGGCATTTATCATTTCTATAGAAGACATCCCTCGACAATGAGCATGTTATGTGCAGATGTAACGGGGGTGTCACTACCTTTAGTGTCTCCCATCTAAGAATCTTAAGTACAGGCTGATTGGAGAGGAGGAGGAGGTAGGGGTGGAGAAAGGTCTGCATTACCCTCTGGAGTGAGTGTCGGACGGGTATACACCGATGCATTTTATCTCGGGCGGCACAATACTCCCAGGGGTTGGAGGTTTGGGCGCAACCGCAGGGCCGGGGAGGCAACGGGTGCAAGCTGCCAGCTGCAGGGCAGGGGAATGCTCGCAGGAGGACTGGTGCAAATCTCCCTCGGCCCGCTAACCCAGGCAACCCCAGCTTCCCCTCGGGCCTCTGGGCGAGCGGGCTCTCTGCAAAACTGGAGCCCTGCCCGGGTCCGGGAGCGAGGGGACGAAGGAGCAGAAGCAGGCGCCCCCGGCCCGAGCTCGCGACCAGGGGAGCGCAGCGCCCCGGGCCTCCCCGCCGGATGGGGGCTGCTCCGGCCTAGTGCACGCAGCTGCCTCGGCGAAGGGTTAACCCGGCGCCCGAACCCCGGCCGGCCCGGCGGGCAGCGGAGGAAGGGCTGTTGCAAGGGGCGCAGCCGCAACTGTGGCGTGTGCGTGGGGGGCAGGGGCCCCTACTCACCCTGGCCGGCCGCCTCCGCCTCCGCCGCCCCGACCGCCGCCTCGGCGGTCCATCCCTGCGGCGGGGGGCCTGTAGCCGCGGCGCTCGAGTAACAACCGCCGGCCGGGCCGGCCCCTCCCCCCCGCCCAACGTCTGTCCTCAGGGCCGCTCCACAGACCCGGCCTCGGCCGCCGCCGCCGCCGCCGCCGCCGCCGCCGCAGCGCTACGTGGCCGCCGCTCCGACGTCTCGCGACTCCCTTCCGAGCGCGCGAGGGCGAGCGGGGCCGGCGGGGCGGGCGGCGCGCGGGGAGGGAGGCAGGGGAGGGGGTGTGCGTGTGTGGTTGTGTGTGCGGAGCCGGGGGCAGGGAGGGAAGGCGAGCGGCGGCGAGAGCGCGCGCGCGCCCGCGTCCCGTCCCTCGCCCGCCTCCCCCCGCCCCCCCCCCCCGCCCAACGGGGAGCCGACACCTCCCTCCGCCCGCCCCCCTGGCATCCCGGCCGCTGGGCGCGGCGGCGCGCATGCGCAGCCCCTGGGGCCGGCCCTGGCGCACCTTTTCTCCCCGCTGCCACAATGTGAGCGCCCCGCCGCCCAGATAACCGCCGACTCCCGCTCCACCCCCGCCCTCCCCCACTCCGCCCACTGCTGAGCGCCCAGGTAAAGGCGTGGACTGCGCGTGCGCACCGCTCTCCCTGGGTCTGGGGGCGTGGTTGCTGAAAGGAAGCCAGAACGCAGAGTGGGAGGGAGCTGGGGGCGGAGGGTGTGAGCCGCCCCGAAGTAGGGGCGGGTTAAGATTAAGGAAAGGTAAAAGTGGAGAAAGGGGGCTGAAATAGGAAAGTGGGACCAAGTGAGATTTAGAAGTAAAGGAGCCTTTGGTTTATGAAATAAAATGTTTTAAGAAATCTTGACTGTAGCCTCTGTTACTGGAGGGTAGGGTGAGTGACAGAGGACAGAAATAAAGGAGACAAAATATAAGCAGTAGCGGTCATTCACCAGATAAATGGGACAGCTAATAAAACCTGGGGAAATTTAGAGATTGCCGGAACGGCCAGAAAAATTTAGAGCCGCGTTTGTTCTGTAGCCAGGAATAGGGAAGGGGATGTGTGTGTGCTTGAGACACCGAATTGCTGTAAGAAAGGAAGCCTCCATTGAAAGTATTACAACAATATGACTAATTAGCTATTAATCATTAATATAATTAATGGTACTATTAGCTAACAAGGTAGCATTTATGTGAGTTCCGAGCCAAGAGAGGGTGTCCGTAATTGTAAGTGCTTGGCGTTCGGAGAGAGGAAGTGAGGCAGGCAAGGTAAAGACCTGGGGAGGAGAGGACCCAAGACAGCAACTTGGAGGGTCAGGATGACCCTTTCCCACTAGAAACCAAACTTCCCCGATGTTTCCCAAATCTTGTCTCCATTGAAACTCCTCATCCTCCTTCCATTATGGAAAAAAACACACTTAATAAATATCTTTGCATTAAGACCTACCTCTTGACACATTTTCAATATGGATGCAACTACTTCTTTCCCAAATAACCATTCCTTCCTTTGCCCCCCAACCCCCCCCCAGAAAAAAAAAAAAATCCCTATAGCAAGTAAAATGACCTGAATCTGGGATAGGGTTAGGGGAGAGATTGAAACTTGATACACAAAATTGTTCCGGGGCTAGCTCTGTCCTTGGCCCCTTTTCTGAAAACAGATGCTTGGTCTTTATTATCCTTGGACTCCACACTCCAGGGAGTGTAATTTGGCACCTTTGGGTTGTGTTCCTCAGTAGTGAGTGCCTTCAGTGGATAAACACTAAAAATGACATCATAATACAGCAGGTAGAGAGAAAATCTTCAGGCAGAGCAGGAGGAAATACACATGCATAAATAATAAAAGGAAACACTTAGGGGCACCTGGTTGGCCCAGTTGGTGGGGCATGTGACTCTTGATCTCAGGGTTGTAAGTTTGAGCCCACTTTGGGTGTAGAGATTATTAAATAAATAAGTAAAATAAAATCTTAAAAAAAAAAAAGGACTTAGATTTAATGCAAGAAAGAACTTGGCCTCCACAAGGGCTGATGAGCTCAGAACATCCAACTGAGATGTCTAGCGTTGCCCTTCTAGGACATTTAACCCATTCCCTACTCTGCCTGTCAGGGCAATCCAGCTTAGAAGACCGGAGTTCATAGCAATGGCTAAAGAAGCAACGTAACCTTCCAAGTGTCTGTGACTCTCCACCCACAGGCCAGCCCCCCGAAGGGCTCCTAGTAATTAGAATAGTAATATTATTACCTTCTACTCGAGGAGTGCTTTATGGTTTCTGAAGGGAGATTATGTTCATTATCTCATGAGATCCTCTATATCTCATGAGATCCTGCCTGTGAGGCAGGCAAGACAGGTATTATTACCAGTGAAGGAAATTTGGGCCAAGGAATGTTTAATGGCCCAGTCAATCACTCAACCCAGAAAACAATGGAGGGTTTGACTCTGAAAGACTGCTACATATTCCTGTGGGTAAAAATACGTAGCCTTGGCACGTGATAGAGAATAATTTTAATGGGCAATTCTATACCTGTGTCTCCTCTCTTCCACATGTCTTCCCCCTTTTCTTCTCTTCAGGACCCTAGAGTTGGACCCTGTGTTTCTGAAGCCTTGGTGACCAGTACTTTGGAAGGTTTTGGGGCCACAGGGCTGGCAAGGAGATCCCAGTTGCTCCGCTCTCTCTTAATTCTTCCCTTTCATATATCTACCCACAGCAGGTAGCTGCCAAACAGTGTCCTCTGTCAACGTGTCACAAGAAGGCATCTGCTCTCAGCCCAACTGCTAAGCCCATGCTCCCCTTCTTCAGCGGCTGACACTACAGCCGACAGTCAATGCAAGCACCATTTAGTACCCACATCTGGCCTCCCTGGAAGATCGGGCTTCTGTCATCCTGGTTTCCTGGTCTTGGATAGTTCTTCACTGACCTCTTCATTAAGGCAGTGGACAAAACCCAGAAGAAGCCATTTTTTTAAAAAAGATTTTATTTATTTATTTAACAGAGAGAGAGAGCATGAGCCAGAGGGAGTGGCAGAGAGAGAAGGAGAAACAGACTCCTCATTGAGCAAGGAACCCAACACGGGCTTGATCCAGGAACCCTGTGATTGTGACCTGAGCTGAAGGCAGCTGCATAACTGACTGAGCCACCCAGGCACCCCGATAGAAGCCAATTTAAAAAAAAAAAAAAGGTTTAATAGACACACACACACATGAATATTACTCAGCCATAAAAAAGGATGAGATCTTGCCATTTACAACAAGGAGGGACCTACAGTATTATGCTAAGTGAACTAAGAGAAAAACAAATACCATATGATATCTGTTAGAAGTGGAATCTAAAAAAAACAAATGAACAAACAAAAAGCAGAATCAGGCCTACAAATGCAGAGACCAAAGTGATGGTTGTCAGAGGGGGAGAAAGGTGGGGTTGGACAAAATGGGGTGGGGGGAGTGGGAGGTACAGGCTCCCAGTCATAGAATGAATAAGTCACAGGAATAAAAGGCACAGTGGAGGGAATATAGTCAATGATATCGTAATGGGGGCTCCTGGGTGGCTCAGTGGGTTGAGCCTCTGCCTTCGGCTCGGTCATGATCTCGGGGTCCTGGAATCAAGCCCCGCATCTGGCTCTCTGCTCAGTGGGGAGCCTGCTTCCCCTTCTCTCTCTCTGCCTACTTGTGATCTCCGTCAAATAAATGAAATCTTTTAAAAAAATGATATTGTAACAGGATTGTATGGTGACAGGTGATAGCTACACTCGTGGTAAGTACAGGATATGGTAGAGGGCAGCTGAACCTCTATGCTGTACACCTGGAACTAATGAAACACTGTTTGCCAGTTATACTCAAATAAACAAAGACATAATTTTAGTACAGTTCTGCACACTTTGACAGTTCTGAAAACCTTCAGAGATTTCACTGAAACAGCAAACAGACATATCTGGTTCCTAAACGGCCTCCTACAAGCTCCCAGTTCACTGCATTTCCACACTCCCCAAGCTTCCAAGAACGTACCCGCAGTTACCGCTAGTTCTTACCATCACTACTTACATAGGGGCAGTGGCTGGGGCTCCCTGTCCACTTATTAATATAACCCAGTCCTAGCACACCAGACTTGGGGCCAGGGCCCTGGTCATGGGCTCCGAGGTTCTCATAGTCACCGTGCTGCAACCTTTGCTCATTCCCTTCACATTTTAGACTCTGTAAAAAGACGGGATTATCTGGCTCTTACAGCCTTCCAGATCCAATACCTAGGAATCTATTCTAGAAAGTTGACTTTGTTCGCTAATGTCTTACGATGCCATTCCTTCGCTAAGAATCACTATCCAGTTCCTATCTCCGAGCCCTTCCTACAAAACTGCCCCCTTCACAGAATGAATAAAGCTGGCCTGGGCTCTCCTGTTTTATTTGCTTCTTCTCTAAGTGACGGTGTTTAGAGATAGCTCAGAAAGCTGGACTTTTGGCTTTTCTGCCATAGGGCTTACATGCATATGCTTATGTATATGTCCAGTATTAAAGGGATATGGGTCAAGGGCACTTTCACTCCGTGCCCCCTCACCTCCTACCACACCTGCTTGAATTCTAGTGAAGAGGTGAAATAAAGGCCAGGATGTCTTGGAAGAAAAAGAAAGGACACCCCAAAAGGCCAGACCCATGAATGCAGCTGTTTTGTACTGCGGATAGAGGTGAGGGAGGCTATGGGGAGAGCCAGTGTCCCTTCAGGCAAAGCTTAGTTCAGCTGCAACATGACCTGGGGCCAACATTTGACTCACAGTCCCCCAGCTAGGGTCTCTATATGCCAAAATGCATTTTATAATTATTTCTAAAATATATAGATATTTATAAGATTTTATTTTTTTATTCATTTGTCAGAGAGAATGCATATGCACAAGAGAATGCATAAACAGGGGGAGAAGCAGGCTCCCCACTGAACAAGGACCCCAATTTGGGACTTGATGCCAGGACGCTGGGATCGTGACCTGAGCCACCCAGGCGCCCCCCCCCCCCCCCCCCCCCCCCCCCTTTTTTTTTTTTTTTTTTAACAGCAAATAAGAAGGAGATCTGGATGTTAAGGGTCACATGGCCGGAACTTGGGTCTCCAGGATCCAAGTTCCGGACTTTGTGACACTGTGCTGCGGTCCTTTGCTGGATGCCATACAAAGCAAATTAAACAGATGTGGTCTCTGCTCTCTGGAAGTTTGGACTTAAATGGACAGCCACAGTTCCAGCAAACATAACAGGACAAAGTGATTCACAATCAGTTCCCAATAAATAAATGAGTTGAATAGATAAGGAAAGCCAGGTTTACTGGGTCTACT